GCGATATGGATTTTAGGCCATATCGCCCAGCCCTACTGCAGCTCTTCCAACTACAGCATTATCTGTACAAGCTAGTCAAGTTCGAAAAGCCTGTTATAGTTTTGTTTATGTAAATGTAGATGGAAAACCCAACCTGTGTTACTCTGAATAAACTGCTATCATGAGATAAAACAGCCACTTAAAAGCTATAACATTTTATTTAAACTGGATACATAGACAAATATCAGCCTGTCGGTTGAGACCTATTGGCTCTCAAGTTTTAAATACTCCTATGCCTTTTAGCACATATGATCTATAATCTGTTATGCTGAAGAACACAGAACATAAAAAGCGTTCATTTGCTTACACTAGAGAAGGTGAAAATAATTTATGTGCTCTGGAATATTTTTTGGAAGACAGCGAAGAAAAGGAATGCCTATTATATCATATTATTGTATCTAGATCTATTACCACACTCGGTTTTTGCATGGATCCCCAAACTAACCTTTGACAAAACAACTTGTAATTCAAGGAAATCATAAAAAGTCCATAATCAGTGTGTAATCATGTACAGCTAAGCCTTCAGCTAACAAAACTAAAACCTCAAAACTGAGGAAGCGAAAACTTTTGCAAACAGATCTGTGCAAGGTGAAAAATGAGCTTTATATATGCATTCTACCACACACAAAAATGTCATGTCAACATGCCATGTATGTTAATATGCTTCTGTTCTTCCACTGGGTTGTCTCAGTCAGCTGGGTAAAAGGTAAGACTTCTGAGATTTGGAAGCGCAGCTCTGAGGCTACATCCAGGGATGACAATAAAAGCTTTTCAGGCTTCAGGGACAGGATGGGTACAAGAAAATAAGAGCACAATTTAGAATTGAACAAATGGCAAATGTGTGGTCCTGTGACTCAGATGCATTATTATAGTATTGTCTGGCCACAAAACAGCTTATATGCATCTTGACATTACTCCTACATGTTTCTGGCCGTTAGGCAGGTAATTAAAACACTACTCCTTACAGGGATTACTTTTTTGTGTAGGGGAGACCGGGGATAGTTGTAACGTGGGTCAGTTGTAACACTTCCTATTTCTCCAATCAGGGCTAAGTTTCAAATGATGTGACTCATCCTGTGCATGCCCAATTCAGTTCTGCTATCACATGTGAAAAATCAGCACATTTGTCAAACACAGACAATTTAACACGAAAAAAAGTAATTTGTATGCCAAAAAGTAAGTTTTTCTACTTTATTTCAATTTCTAATAGCATTATTTGCTTTTCAGTTAAACTCATCAAACTTAAATTGTGTTATTTGTATGTCTATGGGGATATATTCTGTGTAGGTCTTTAGTGCTAATGTTTTAGCCGTTGGCTGTAATGTTAGCTAGTTCATGGCTATAGGAGTCTGGGTCAGTTGTAACAGCAACAGTCTGGGTTAGTTGTAACAATAATGCAGATGTTACAACTTACCACACTATTACTTTAACTTATATTAAACAAGTTGGGGCAACGACATCAGCAGAGAGAGGTTCACTGGTCGCATTTGTATATGCAGTTAATGCCATTGGCAACACAATTCCTCCACTGTTTGTGTTCCCACACATACATTATGCAGACCACTGTGTCAGAGATGGACCAGTAGGAAGTAGTGGTAGTAGAAATAAGTCAGGATGGGTGGAAGAAACAGATTTCCTCATCTTTCTGAAGCACTTTGCAAACCACACCAAGGTAAGCCATGATAAAAAGTAATGGAATTGCGATGCTGGTGAACAACTACATTTTTTCAGCTTCATTGTTATGTTCAAAATTGGTGCAAGAGTTGTAGGTTATGATGCCCACTGAGCCAATGAGGCCAAACTCAAGGAAGACCAACCAAAATTAATGAAATATTCAGTTGCAGAAAATTCCATAACTTGTCTTTTTTGGGGGGTTGGAATATGTTCAAAAGCTAGATTTCTGCATTGTGTCACACACACACACACAGCTACATAAATGGCTCTAAGTGCATTCATATGTTGAATAAACAAAGATTACATGTTAATGTTTTGTTAGTACCCTTATTTCATTGTGTTACATTTCACCCCAGGATATGTTACATCTAACCCAGACTATGGGGTTAATTGTAACATTTCACTCTTTGTGTTTGAGACCATACCATGCAATGGGTATTGGGTAATTAGAGAAAATAGCTGCACTATTTAATAGCCGAGACATGTAAATACTTTGCATTACATTTTGAATCCACTACCTTAAAAGAGCTCCAATTTACAGACAGAAATGTCAAAAATGTTACAACTATCCCCGGTCTCCCCTACATGACGACATTCTCTAACACATCAGTGTAAAGTCTCCCATATGTGTTGAGTTAACTTGAGTTAGAGTGAAGCTAGGTGACTGCAAAGACCTGTTTTATGTTATGATTCACATTATTTTCATACACATTAAAGTATTTAATGATCCTATGTGCCCCTACAGAAGAGACCACACCCATCTGGTTAGACCTGTTTTATCGCAGGATAAGTGTGATCACTCAGAACATATGTATTTGCTGTGATCCTTCCCTCTAAGTGGACAAGCGAACCCACACAACTCACCAACGAAACGGTTCCCAACAGAGCTGCTGGATCCCCTTACTGTAGGTGTCAAGGGTTCAGATTCTTCCTTTAATTTGTCACCTATCAGAAAACTCCTGACACTAATCTGATAAGATTAAGTAATCACACTGGCAGTACAAAGTCAGTGTGATTCAGTCTAAAGTCAATCGCCTTGTTAACTGGAGAATTTTGCTGATGTAGCTGACTTCTGTGTGCTCTGTTGGCGTAGCCATCTCCAGTCTCAATGCCGGTGTCATCCCGGACTGAACACAGCATCACACTGTACCTCGGGGTTCAGGTTACAGAGGTTTCGCAAGGACCTGTTTACGGATTCAAGATCACTAGCCAGGAATCTACTTGGTTTTGCCTATCTGCGCTCTAGAACCCGAGAGCATAAATAATCTAACACAAAGTTAATTCAGAAATGGAGCGCCATGTTCGCAGAAAAACTATCATCTTTGGTGAAATGCTGACCATATCGTTAAATATAAACGGTAAACCATGAGGTAACTTTTAAATTCACCGACAATACCAATAATGAAACAGTAAACGTCCCGTTAGGGACAGAAACTGGTTACACGGCTAATTATGAGAGAATAGACCAGCGGGCCTTCTCTGACCACGGAGCCCCCTTAGCTCCTACACCTTCGACAGTTTCATGATGAATGCCGCAGCACCATTCTTACCTTGGTGGTTAAAAAGCCTCCATAACTTTGTAAATAGTATTCCCATGGCTGACGGTGATGAATTTCGATGCCAGCTTGTAATAGTTCGATGTACCTTAGCTAGCCAGCCTTGTTGTTCAGTCCTGCCAACTTCAACTAGCTAGCTAACTTGCTAACTACAACGACGATGACCTGTCAAAGAATTCAAATACAACTGCCATACTTATATGAACTGACTTCTACTCTACATGACCTACGAGGTGAAAATGTAGGTCCGACGACTGATTTACTGTATAAAACAAAACCGAAAACGCTTAACACTGTCACTTGCTAGTTCGTATCAGCTGGCTGTTGTGAAGTACCCTGCGCTGTCAATCTTGCGCATGCGTGTCTAGTATCTTATGGAGCGCTATAAGGAAGGAAAAGCATTTATTATATTATATTATATTATATGATATGAAAACTTCATACACAACAGGTTTAATAATTATTAAATACAGTAACAGGTAAATTATTTTTTATGAATATTTCTATAAGCAAAAAACAAAAACACCCCACTGGTATCCATACAACAGCATAACAGCAGTTTATTTCATTACAGTTGTAAAATGACAGTGCACACAAATTCTAATCAATGCATCATTCTCTCACAGGCAGTATTCAAATCTTTTAAATCACTGCTTATGCTCCACTGTTTTGAAACTACAACAATAAAAGCTACTGTGTAAGGAAAATAAGAACGGAAGCCTGCTCGTCAAACTTCCCTCTCCAGAATCACAGCACAATGAGATCTCTGGTCTATGACCTGAAATAAAACGGAGCTTTTTCAATATCTAAATATTAAAATACAATATACAAGGATGTCATGTAAAAGGTAATGCTATTTAATCCCATATTAGCTGGTAGCGTACATATAAATTGAAAGATGGGGGAGAACTGGCTGCTCAACATTTCCATAAAAGTAGCATGTAAATGACACTATTAACAAAGGCAGTGCAGTCCTGCCCAAGTGCTTTTAGACAGCTTCTTACTTATCAGTAGTCTTTAATAAAACTCAAGGAGAATACACAGAAAAGCTGTAAATGACAATATAGAAGAGGTGCATGTTAAATTGCTACTCAAGGAAAGTGTTTAGTGTTACTTTATTTTATAAAACCTTTTACTAATATATTTCTTTGTCTGATGGTTGGAGGGTGTAAGCAAGGCTTTTATATAAAATGACATAAATGGAATGTAATTTATTGTTCTGGAAATTGAACCTTACACAAATTAAAATTTCTTTCCTTTGATTATTTTTCAGTGTATTATATATGGAAGCCCTCAATATAAATCACTCACAAAAACCCAAAGTCTTGCTTATTCCATGTCCTACGAAACCCATGACAGACAACAGCAGTTAATTGACGCATGGCATGTGAGAAATGCGCTGTTGTGACCATTTTAAAGACTTCTGTGCTGGAAAAACAGCTTTTTTTTTTCAAGAAACAAAATCATAAAATCACAAAAATAACATAACTCTCAGAATCACACTCCCATCAGGGGTGAGAACATAAACGCTACACTTCTAGGTCTAATTGACCTCTCATTCCTGAGGTTGTGGAGCTTTGAAATGTATTAGTATCTGCATGATTTTTCTCCTTTTCTGTCATATGATTTATGACAAAAACAGCGTTTAAAAAGAAAGGGAACGGGAAGCTACTGCATGAACCCTGAATTAGCCATTCATGCCACTTTAAAACAATAGTTGTAAAACTCAGGATTCGGGAGCAAGCTTTACAGGACTTATCACACACATCAAGGACAGCGGCACATTAAAGATGCATTAAACTCTCCTTCTACCATCTCCTGGACCCGTGCAAACAAGTTCTGCGCTGATCATCACTGCTGGATGCTGTCTGGCACTGGCCTGAGTCAGATGGTCCCTGTAATTACAGTCCTACCTGCATGCTACAGTAACAGCTGAGACAGCGGGAATGGTCCAGAAGGGCCTAGTTTACTTCACTCACATGTCATACTGGTGACATATTCAAAAAATGTCCAACTTTCCCTCTTAAATATAACTTTACTGAGCTTGTGCTACTTTCATATCCAGTACCTTGTTCACATCAAAGCAAGAGCAGGATTCTTATTTTTGGGTTCAAATGCTCATTTGTCAGGAGCCAAGGCCAAAGTAGATATGAGGTACTACACAAAATAAAAGGTGGTTTCAGTCCTCGTGAATGTAAGAGATTTATCATGTAATAGCAAACTTTCCCCTTGTGTTCACGGTGGTCGCTTGAAGAGACACAGGCCTATACTTTGTTAACAGCAGGCCACAGCTCAGAGCCGGTGCCTGGAGTCCTGGCTATAGCCTCCCGGGGATCCTCGGTTACGGTGGGGCTTATAAGAGTCCTGGTAGGGGTCCTGGTAGTCCTCCTCCACCAGAGGAGAGTGGTCCCTGCTGTGCTGTGAGCCTGAGGAGAGACGGTTGCGATTCTTCCGTGCCCGCTCGTTATGGCAGTTCTCATCGGCAGGCACTAGACTGCGACGTTCAACGGGCGAATGGTCTGTCGTCGTGTGGTTGCTGTTCCGGTTTCTTTGGGCCTGTTTGAGAGAAGTAATGCTGATTTCAAACTGCGTTTTGCTTTGTTAACACTCGAACAGAATCAACATAACTGTGCATTTTTAATATGTTTGCATTAGAGTCCAACAGATTTATCAGTGGGCTGGTATTATCGGTCCATATCAGATATTTGATGATTGAAAAATCCAAGAAGTAAAGATGGGAGAAACACCCTTCAACACTTCAATAATTAGTGCTGACATTTTATAGTTTGTCCACCAGAGGGCACTTTGCAACTAATCTGAATGGAGCCAGACAGAGTGTAAACGAGTAAATAAAAAAATAAAATCATATCAAATAAAATTGTTTGTTACTCATGGTTATTTTGAGTCTTCTTCATTGGTGTCCCCGTGAAATATATCACTGTAGATACCAAAAGGTTGATTCTGTTCATCTGGACGTAGCGTTTTCAATGGGGCAAACATTTCGTCATTCATCCAAGTGACTTCTTCTTCTTGATCAATGGTCATGAGAATTTGCATATTAATGATTAAGGAACTGACCTCACAGCCTACTGTTCATTAAGTGGTCTAGGTTCTGTTTTTGTGCAAATGTACTGTTTAATGATGATGTGGAAACAAAAGCCAAATGACTCACCTACGTTCAAAAAACACTAGAATCTGTGTAAAAAACATGCCAGCTGCTCTGGAGTCATGAATCAAAGTTTAAAGTATTTGGCTCCAACTTGAAGCAGATCGCCTAAAGGCTAGAGAGTACTGCAGAGATGAGAGTCTACAGGCAAGGTAAAGGCTCTGGTAGAGGTTCTTTGCAGTTTATGGACATCATATCTGCTAATAAGGTGGATATAAGATAATATTCATATCTGTATTTCAGTGCCATCAGTGAGTCATCTCATCCAAAATCAGTGCCAACATACAGCTAAACTCAAAGAATTATCATCAGACAATAAGAACGAGGAGTTCTGACCCCCACAGAGCCCTGATCCCATAGCCTTGGATTATATTACACAGAAGAATGAAGCCGATTCTTGGAACAAAAACAAACTACCTGCCAAGTACTCGGAAAAATACGTACACCTAGGAGGTCAGTTTGTCCTAAACACAAGTGTGATGTTTCACATGCACTTTTTCACAGAACTTTAAGTTCTTTTACAACTTTAGTTATTAAAGGTTCTATAGTTTCTTCACTTACAGTATTGAGGAAGTTACAATTACAATAGATTAAAATGTAAAAAGTTTTAAAATAGTGTTAAAGCCTATTTCACTGTTAAACCATCTTGTAAGTAGGTACCAAAAATTATATTTACTTTATTTCACTATACCCTAACTACTACTAACCTTTAGGTGCCTGGGCTATACTGGGGATTTGGGTAGATAATGGACTCATCTGTTGTCCACTAAAACCTGCTGTGGATATTTTTCCAGCATTGAAAATGTGACAACAAACCATTATAACTCACTCTAAGCATTCAAGGCTTCTGATCTACATCAGTAAAGGAGCTGCAAGCTTTTTACTTTAAAGACAGCAGGAGGGCCTTTGTTTCTCGAAAGATTTTAGTGTGGCTTTCATCTTGTTGCTAGAACATTTTACTGCTAATACCATGCACCTCAGCTATGGCTTTAGGGCATAGTGCATTATCAAACGCTGAGTATTCACACACTGAAATGATCCAAATTTCCTTCTATCCGGCAGGTTGGTAAATCGAAGTCATACATGACTGAAATCTGGGATTCTGTAAAACAACAATGAGAAGAAAAGAAACCCGGGACAGTTTTTTTGCTCTTTAACTTCAGAAATTCACCTGAATGGCAGCAGGATACGGGGAGAGAGCAGTGGAGCCCAGATTGCGTCCCAGGAGGGGGTTGAGCGGCATGGAAAGCGAAGTGTGCGTCGCACGCCAGTACGCCTCCAGGTACTCTGCCAGGTGTTCACAAGCATCTTCAAGCTGGTTCTCATCCAAAATAATATCAAACATCTCCTAAGGTTGGAAAAGAAGAGAGGAAGGTGTAACTGCTGCTGCATTTGGATTTCTTTTCACCACTTGTGATTACATCATGAAACCTAACTTAACTTAGAAGCTGTTGCTTCCCTTAATTAAAAAAAGGGGGTGATGATTACTCACAGAAGGACACTGCGCTAGTTTCTCTGCTGCAACAAGCTGCACATTCAAATGTTTGCTTTGAGACTTCCCTCTTGATTTGATCAGCCTCTGCAAGACCTGTGGGTGACACAAAAACAGTCTAAAAATTAAGAAACTAGAAGACGAGTCGTAACAGGCCCATGGAAATTGGACTCTGTTACATGTAGGTTTGTGACAAGAGATTCTTTTCTAGAAAATCCAGCCAACACAAGCAATGGCACGCCTGTCACTGCTCCAAACTCACATTACAGTCAAGACTATGACTTTCTCTCACTGCCTGAAGGGTTTCTTGGTATTTCACAGCTTACACTGACACTTGTTGACACTGACACTTGGCATGTTGTCAAGTACAACACAATAAAGTTTTTTGTCATTGTTTTTAAATAATATCAGTTTTTAAAAAATTAACATAATATATAGTATCCTGTTAGGCTAATGTAATTAAGTAACTTAAGCTTTTAATCTCACCTTAGGCGAGGACACCTTAACATGGATGATAATGGGTGCTAATGAAGTCTTGATGAGCTGCGCTGGGTGGTTAATGGTGTCAGCATCCAAAACCACCAGCTGTAAAGACCTGGCCAGCTCAAAGATCCTCTCTATTTCACTCTGGACCTCAGCTACAAAAAGTAAAGAATGTACGGCAGAGCAAATATGAATAAGAAACAATATGCAACATATTTAC